AAAAGTCGAGAATATTCCTAGATTTTTCCTAACTCCTTGAACTTGTATGTAGAATTTTCGAAACTTTTAGAAGTTCCCAAAATTTTTTTTTACAAAAGGTCGACTATCCTTTTTCTCATTTCATGATTGTTTGACAATTTCTGCGATACAGACCTTAATTGGAGAGCAGAGCTCTCACAGAGAAGCTCACGGGTTGTCATCCGGCCCTTCCCTGTTTTCTTCTCTTCTTTTTTCTTTTTTTTCCTCCTTTCTTTGTTCCCCACTATGCATACATGCTGTTATACAAAATGACGATTGAATACTTTACGCTCACCCTGATAGCTGCTCAAAGTGTTTGATGGCAGGCATAGTCACAGGTTTAGGAAGCAATCAAAAGGGGGAGATAGACTTGAGTTCAGCTCCTTGTTGAAAGTTTCTTGTTCGAGAGGTGATAGGGACCTACAGAGCTGTTTGTCCATTTTCAAAAAAATTCTTTCGACGGACCATCTCTTTACAAGCATACAATTATGTCAAAGTTCAGTTCTCTAGCTAGGAGCCCGACATCTCCAGTTGCCTGCCCAACGTGGAGCCTGCGAAGTTCTAACTCCTGAATTATAGCTGTCGCCCAATTTTCGAAATCCCAATATAGACATACTTTTGTTGGTTCTTCACCATTTTAAACCACCAACTAAACGTCTACTGACGATTTTATGGATTGCAAGGTTTTTGCGGTTCACTGGATGAGTCAAGTCAAGCTTCTACTGTCATCATCGGCTTCCGCTCGGACAAACCCCTTTTTCACTCCTTTAAACGTAACGCCGATCTCTACTGAAATCCAAAGTTTGAAGTTTTTCATCCAAACGACTTGCCTTATTTGGCTGTACTGACAAAACTTTTGCAAAACAAAACTCGTTTTGGTATGGCAATCAACTAAATGGTGTTCCACCAGCATTTCTTTCGATCAACCGTGCCTATAAATACTCCCGTCAAGCCACAAAGCAACCTTCTTTGTGAAGCCTATCGTAATTTCACATTTTTGTTGACTGTTGTGTATTGACGGTGATTGCCACAACATGACGTACGAATCGGTTTCCTATCAACAATCGTGCAGGCCACCTAAATCTCACAGGAGTCCTACATAGCCAAATGAGGGAAAATCCTTTCACAGTGGGTTGACAAATTGGATTTGGAATGTGGCAAATGCTAACTGAATTCCAGTAGTCAACTTTTTTTAAATGTAGTGATACAAGGAACACCAGTGGTTGTGAAATTCTTTTGAAAATTGAGCCATGTCGCTGAATTCTGGAAATCCCTTCCAACATTGGCATAAGGGTCAGCGGTCTCTTTTTATATCCGCGGAAATACCAAAAATAAAAAAAAACACAAACGTGCATGTGTGTCGTTCTACCGTCTAAATAACGAATAACGTTCGTCGAATGTCCTAATTTCTTTTAGCCAATTCATCATTTTACATCAGACCAATGTCGTGGTTCAATGTCATCTTCCCTATAAAAACATAGAGATGATGGTAACAAACAATTTCTTTTGAATACAAACTTATCTACCCATCTGAGGTCACTTCACAGGCTTTTTGATTGCTTACGATTTTTTGGAGCAGGACCAAAGAGGCGACCGCACAAAAGCAGAAATTGTGATCAAAGTATAGCCCCCCCCCCCCNCTGGCAATTGCATTTTGACGTTCGAGTTAACGTTTATAGTAGAACAAATTGTCACAATTAGACGCAGCGTTAATCAATAATGGTGAAATGAATGATTGTGGAAAGACGAAAGTGAACATCACCGCGAAATGTCACGACTCGATTATTGATTTTTTCGCCTTCGATATCCTATTTTCCAGGTATCAAATGATTCTTCTCATATTATTTTCAATTTTTGTATACACCAATGAAAAATCGATCTCAAACCTTCATGAAGCTGATGATAAAGCAAAACCTTCCGATTCATTGAAGAATGATGCATTTGACGATTTTGAGGTACAAATTTTGGCTTTGTGTAGCCACTTTGAAATAAAGCTAAATCTAGTCTTCAGCACTTCGTACCCCCTTCTCCTCCTCAGCCACGGACGAGTTATCGTATCGATTTTACGAAACAGAACGGTACGGAAATCGTAGCGAACAGACGGACGATATTTGAGGTAAAGCTATCGATTTTTAAATCAGTTTATACTACCGACTCACAGTTTATAACTCGGTCTCTTTGTCTCGCCTCATAGGGAACCTCTTTTACCTTTGACTTCAGAAACATTTCAGTTTTAACCAGTAAGTCGACTATTTCTAGGCGTAAGAAATTTTGATGTAAATCTGGCAACTGTAAATATTAATCGAGCTCCTCAGTTTTTATTATCATATGTATACTATACGTATTGATTGATTAATAACATCTAAAGGTAATCCCTGCCGATTACGTATGCGAATTTTGTTTGGGAGTTATCAAGAAGTTAAAAGAACGGCAAAGCACAGAACCAGATTTTGAACAGGTAAGCTATCACGGCTTGATTTTTCTGTTTCAACAAATCCATTTATTTCACAAGTAGATACATCTGTAGTCTGGCGAGTACTCAAATATTGTGCCTGTTTTTTCAGAATATGAAAGAGGAATGTTGGAAACACAATGGGACCGATTGCGATGATGGTAATGTATGCGAGTTAATCAATAAGTAAGTATAAACCGTATACTTGGGCGGAGGTCGTATAGTGGCAAGTAACGCACTACCACATAAGCGTGACCACGGGTTCGAGCCACGGATCAATATGCACCCAGAAAAAGCGAGCCTTCTACCTTTCCGGGGTCGGCAAATTGCTTCCAGACCGGTCTGGGAGGATAGAAGCACTACTTGTACATCGGCTAGTCACCGCTAGTCATTGTATAGGCCACATAGGCATGCAATACGGCACTTCGATTCTGAGTGAGTCCTCAGACGGGATTGAACAAAGCCCAGAGAATTCATCCTTTATGTTTAAATCCGTCTAACTAACTTACCCATTATTCCCATCTGACGTAAAGCTACAGAGAGTGATTTAAAAATGTAAGGAAAATTGGAAAACTGGAATCGAATCGAAATCGGAAAATAATTCGAAAAATGATGAGTAGTCTGATGTTCAGACTACTCACGACTAGACTCTGCCAACTGTTTTTTTTTNGATGACAAGAAAATTATGGGCGGTATGGATCAACTCCTTCAACTCTCTCAGTCGATATTCCCAGAATGTCAAAGCTCCAACGAAATGCTTTCAGAGTTGCCCTTGATCGACTCCGTAATGATGAACCCGAGAAAATCTGCATTGACGAGAAAATCTGTCCAGACAAGAACAAGGAAATTAAAGAACAGCAGGAAAAGGAGCGTAAAGAAAAGGAACAAGAAGCAAATCGAAAACACGAGGAAGAGGAAAGGAAAAAAGCGGAAGAAATTGAAAAGCTTAAAACCGAGGTACCACCGCGTGCTTAGCTTTTCTTCTTCGCATATGCATGTGTGTTATCGATCTATTGAAGAATACTTTAATAAATTGGAATGTTTTCTGCTTTTAGTCTCTTTTCTATCGAATTTTTGGCTTCCTCTAACAACAATTCTAGCCTGTAGAGAAGCTTAGCAGCAAAATTTCCTTGGCTTTTGTATCATAGAATAGTTAATTAGTTGATTAGAAATAGTTACCAGGCTGTTACTACTGCTTGCTTCGCTCTTCGCTAGTTAAA